AACTTACTCAATAGCTTCCACTCTGGCAACTTGGTCAAGACTTGATTGCCACTTGCGCTATAAGTTGGCCAGTGGTTCACTCAGAGTACTATGACTAGAAAATAATCATCATCTTTCATTATCGTGATTTCTTATGTGTGCGTGTGTGTGGATGTGGGAAAGATGCCATTCGGAGGGATCCGTAAATGTATCTTGCAAAGGTGGGAGAAGAGTGTACTTTGCCTGCATTCCGAGCCATTGACAGCATTGTCTGCCAGATTAAAGTAACTCTCAGAACCTACTGTACTTCTAATGGATCACATGTTTTGCATGGGAAACTTAGTAGGCCATCAGCAAGTCCCGCCAAAATAGGGTAAAGAAAAAAGATTCAGCATCAAATGGCACTACTTCAACCCACAAGTAGTATAGGACTAATGCAAGGTGAATTTAAACAGTTAGCCACAAAGGTGGTTCTGTTACTGTACCTGTTTAGCGTTAACAGTCCAAATGTGGGATGAAGATAATCGGGATTCATTTTTTCCTCTGCTTGGACGGCAGGCAGCTCGCGGCATGGTCAAGCCTGGATTTCTTTGATGAGGATGTGGGGAACATGACAACGGTTTCAACAGGATGGGTGAAGCCACCGTAGCTCCAGTATGGAGGACACCTCGTTTACGCACAGGAGATTTAACAGCCCGGGAGAACTTTCTTTTCACCCTCGACTGGTAGTAGGTCTGAAGGGGCTTGGAGGTTGACGACCTCCCTGAGCTTGCTCTAGAGTTTGCCGCTTTTGCCGTTGTGCTTCTGTTTTGCCTGTTGGCCTGATTGCGGATGTGGTCAACAGAGTTGTCCCTGGGTTGTTGATGAGCCGAATTCGAGTCCCCATGAGATTTAGTCAACGATCGGGTAAGTCGAGAGACCATGGCATCTCTGTGAAGCTGTTGGAACCAGGCAATACATGTCATGGAGCTACCGATAACAGAATGGATCAAGTGATATGACTTATTTTCTAAAGCGTTCGTCCTTCGAACAAAAACCCAAAAATTTGAATTTCCTTATCATTTACTGAGAGGGGCGTTAAAGGAGACTTGAAACAACATCAAACTACAGAAAAAAAGGACATCTTCACCGAAGTTGTGGGAGAAATTTCGAGGGCTCCTCCATTTTAAACGCTTAACTAGCAGACACCAGCACCATGCCAGACCCATAACAATTGTCTACTTTTTTCTAACTAACTTCGTAAGTTGATCTCACCGGAAGTCGAAGGGGGTTATCTGACAAAACTGCAGTAAAGGTTTTTGTGTCCAAAAGTCAGAACTGGTCGAACACAGCCAATAAAGGACACCAGATAAGGTAGTGTAAAGCCAAACGCCTATCTGGAAATGGAAACTATACCAGTAAGCGAAAGTTTATGGAATCTATAGAAATAAACAAAGCAACCGACGCCACAAATAGAAGGAATGAGTTTAAGACGTTACATGGAAATAACTTGTGGCTGCTGGATAGGATTAGAGAGGTAGAACAAGAAGTAGCGCCGAGTAAGGGGATGAGGCTTGATAGCCTCAAAGTTGGTTTTCGCTCTCATACCCCACACGTCTCCCGAGCATTGTATGCACACAACACAAGTGAAATAAAACGAAATCACATGCGGGATAGGAAGCAGCTATTCAGCTACAATCGCATCCATTTTACGCCTTAGCTACAGACACTTCCCATGTCATCCACAGCCACTCTACTTTTTAATAGCATATAAGAAGAGCATAGACTATCAAACCAAATCATGAGATGTCGTACAAAGTGGACATAGCAAGGCTATAAAAAGTAGGTAGGATTACAGCCAGCTACCTTTCTTATTTTTGTGATTAGTGAATTATCGTAAAATATAGTGTCCTGTGCTAACGACCAAGCATTCATCTTGGTCTTAGGGCGATGCTCCTAGGACCTATTTGCACAAATCTATAATCACAGCTCCGAGGCAATGCCCTTTAAGCTTCTGCTGAGGTCAAATTACGAAACCCTTCAATTCGCCTCTTCAAATAAAATGGAAGATACTCCAGCATCTACAAAACTTTTGTTTTCAAGGAATACGTACAGATTAGATTGGTCTGATTTAGACTGATAGGAAAGCTATCCATGATAATGATGAATGCTAAACAAACTGTGGGAGATTAGCAGAACCAGTTACTGGTAAACATATCGTGAGCCGATTCATAACCAGCTAAAAAAATCAGACACAATTTTAACATATCTAAAGCATTCAAATTCTC